GTTAATGTACTGAAAGTGAGACATGTTCCAAATTATGGTAACAAAAACAGAAAATTCAGGAGGGATATATTTGACTTAATTTTATGCAAGTTTATGTGTGTGTGTGTGTGTTTAGGATAAACAATTGCTTAATTGATGATGGTGATGTTTAAGCGGGAAAAAATCAGTGTTCATTTGTAGCCTTGAGGCATGTCAAATATTTTGGTTATATTAAAATGAATAGAAATAGACAGGGCTGGCCAAATAATTTGTCTCCCATTTATGCAAACAAGGCCCATTTTATAATATACATAATAAAATCATAGTTCTTATACATCTTACCTGTATCTCTTGAAGAGCTCGTCGCTTTCTTTGAAGCCATTATTGAGCAGCATATTGATGCCTTGAAACGCCAGCTCGGCGTCATCGATCTGCTCGGCGCTCTCTTCAACCTGCTGCGGGGAATCAGGGCCTGCCATCCTCTCAATTTACTCCTTTATACGCAAAAAAAACTCGTTCTGCTGTAAATAAACCGAGGGGGAAAAAAACAGTCTGGTTGTTTTGTTCGCACGAGAAACGCGCCGAGTAAACAACAATCACCACAGGCGCGGTGCCGTGCGAAATGAAACGATATTTCCCTTACCAGTGCAGAGCAAACCGCTGGTGAAATGTCGTCTGGATAGCTTGATCCCTTCCGTGTCCGATCTGCAGTGCTAAGATGTTTTCAGATCCGCAATCGTCCCCTCCATCAGGCCGCCGTTAGCTATGAAATGTCAGCTTGTCGTTCGCATAGCAGCATCTCGCGTTACGCAATATTTAAAGGAGCAACAGTCAGAGAGCAGTGACGTTATTGTCCCGTGTGCGCTTCTCATTCACCCCACACTGAGGTGTTGTAGGTGATTGAGCCGATGCTGCTTTGAAAGAGAAGCTTGACAGCTTCCTCTGGAGTCTAGACAATAACACGCCCTTTGCCTCCAACCAGGAAACGACTAGCACGTTAACCCTTGCAGTTTCTCTGCCTGATTTGGATTCATCATAACACGAATCTTTTGAATCGGTTCACCAAGAAGAAGGCTGCGTCCGAAATCGCATACTTCCCTACTATAGCCTATAGTAGGCGAAAAATAAATGACATGTGTGACAAAATAAGTATGTCCGAATTCACAGTATACAAAAGTAGACAGAAAGTAGCCTACCCGAATCCCGATCTAGGTCTACTCCTTCGTGCGAGATTCTAAAGTGTGCATATGATGGACACCTTTCTACCCCATGAGGCCAGTGGAGGGGGTTTGTGAATGGCAGGGATGCAGCGCTGGTAGGTCACATAAGGGCAACAGGTTATTATAGTACGTCCAGATTACATTCATACAGTCATACTACACAGCAAACAAATTCATACTATATAGAACATACTTTTTTAGCGGTCATGAAGCAATTACTTATTCAAAATAAGTCAGTAGCACCTCATTGCAGTACACGAGATCCAGGGGGCGGAGTTGGATCCAGATCTAAGGGGTGGAGATGGGTAGGATTAGAGGTGGGGTTAGGGATCATGGGGTGGAGATGGGTAGGATTAGGGGTGGGGTTAGGGATCAGGGGGTGGAGAAGGGTAGGATTAGAGGTGGGGTTAGGGATCATGGGGTGGAGATGGGTAGGATTAGGGGTGGGGTTAGGGATCAGGGGGTGGAGATGGGTAGGATTAGAGGTGGGGTTAGGGATCATGGGGTGGAGATGGGTAGGATTAGGGGTGGGGTTAGGGATCAGGGGGTGGAGATGGGTAGGATTAGAGGTAGGGTTAGGGATCAGGGGGTGGAGATGGGTAGGATTAGGGGTGGGGTTAGGGATCAGGGGGTGGAGATGGGTAGGATTAGGGGTGGGGTTAGGGATCAGGGGGTGGAGATGGGTAGGATTAGGGGTGGGGTTAGGGATCAGGGGGTGGAGATGGGTAGGATTAGGGGTGGGGTTAGGGATCAGGGGGTGGAGATGGGTAGGATTAGAGGTGGGGTTAGGGATCAGGGGGTGGAGATTGGTAGGATTAGAGGTGGTGTTAGGGATCAGGGGGCGGAGATGGGTAGGTTTAGGTATATGTAAGGTGGGAGGAGTTGGATCTGGATCCAACTCCTCCCCCTGGATTTCGTGTTCTGCAGTAAGGACCATCTCAAATAAGTACCTACTCCAAATATGTGATTTCGGACTCAGCTGATGTATTCACTGATCCGTTTTCTGCATATCAGTAGGTGGCAACAAGCGAGTGCCTTCATTGAATTGTTCACGATTCTGTAACATTAATTTGATTGTCTACAAATCTACTGATTCCAGAAATAACAATAATTTGCCCTCCAGTTTGTTCGGTCAGTGCCACTCCGAGTCTCGTTCAGACTCAAAACAACAGGTGCGTCCCAATTCACGTAGGCTTAAAGGGGCATTATGCAGAAATCCCGTTTTTGTCAAACAGCGACCCCTAGAGTTACTGTGGAGTACTTGAATTTAATGTTACTGTCGTAAATACCACTCACTCAGAGCTTGACATGCCCTGTTACATAGTATACAATAGTACATTGTGTTTAATTTGTCGTTTAATGAGATATAATATATGTTGTTAGTGGTGAGAATTTTCACGTGATTAAATGCATAGATCCGACAATTTTAATGGTCCAGAGGCAGAACTTTTGCCAAGTGTGTCAGAGGTTCTGGGTTCTAATCGGTAGTAGTAGTATAGTTTATTTTCCTCATAAAAACCGATTGTTTATTAGTGGTTGTATTTCAAGCAGGGACATGTTTTTTGTGCATTAGATTTTGTGATTTCACCATAACAAAATATAGAGTCTCTCAGTCCCCGCAACTGATTCAGGCGCGCGTCACAACAGAACACTGTAACTTATCTGCACCACTGATCGTAGAGGCAACGAGCACTTTGCAGTCACTTGATTTCAAAAGTAACACATTTCAGATCGCCTCTTATTTAACAAACGAACGAAATGAATGCTCTACTACAGTTACCTGGAGATGTTTTATTTGTTTGTAATGGTAACGTTACATCCGTGCCGCGAGAAGTTTCAATGGGGACATAACACACCAGCAAATTACGCCTATGCTCGTGTCCGACTCCTCGCTCGGTCAGTCTGCCGTTTCCTCTTTCTCTGTTCCTCCGACAATGCTTTCCTAGCTTTCTGCATCTTATATGCCGGCTCAGCCATGACGATAGTGTGACAAACTCCATCCATCTACCTTGTTCCTGTGTGTATGTGTGCAGGTTGCCGTAAAGGATTATGTTACATCGCGAGAGCTGATATCACGCGATACTTCCTGACGCGGCCCGCCGCACCGAAGTTGCAAGTGAGATTTTTTCGCTCACAGGCACCAGGGGGGGTCGAGACGCCCACCATTCAACCAAGGGGGTAATCCATCGACCGGAAGTTGAAGCCGGCCGGGTGCCGCCATGTTGTAGCAGAACTTCACTTGCGTTAGCATTTCCATTGACTCCCATTCATTTTTGCGTCACTTTGACAGCGAATAACTTTACATCTGAGGCGTTTAAAGACTCCATTTGTCCATTATTTATTTCTAAAGAAACACGACAATGTATAAAGGGCTCCATTACCTTCTATGTTACACTATGGCCCCGTAGAAACAGATTTAGTGAAAATAGGCTAACGATTGCGTCATAACCACTCGACTCTCTGTCGCGCTGTACAGAAGTTACCGTACAGACAGGAGGAGAAGCTCGCTGGCAATCGGGGGGACGTCCCGTCAAGAGAGAAGCCCATAGATAATGAGTCCATAAAAGCAACGGAATACTTACTCCTGCTCACTCACGCCAAAGAACTCTTTGCTCAAGTTCCCCGTCTCTGCAAGATTAACGTTGGCAGTTTTCACGCACAGCTACTAGAAGAGTAACGTCTGTCAGACAGGTTGCTCACGTCATCAAGCTTAGTTTGAGTCGGTCTGAGTCTGCGCGTCAGGAACGGAAGTTCTGAAAAATCGCTAAAAGTGGGCTTCAACTGTCTCAACTGAGTTCCAATGAGATCGCTCTGTCCATTTCTTTTACTGTCTATGCATTCAACCCGAAAGAAGTTATATAACCATTTCAATAACTCTGAAGCTGTTCAGTTAAGCTAAAAAAGCTGCATAGTGTCCCTTTAAGCACTAGGCCTATTCTATGCCGTTTTGTAGTGAGTAGTGTTTTCACACTGAAAATTGTGAAAGTGAAATACCCGGATGATGCACTTAATTAACCTGGGGGTAAAATGAAGTGTGAATGTTGGGACACTTCATGCACTCGACTGTCGACAGCTTTAATTATTTTGCGGAAGGGAAAGGGGCTATCAGATTCCGATGCTGAATGACAAAATAACCTTATAAAATTCACACACAACACGGTTGAGTAGGCTACATGATTGTGCATAAGTACATAGTGTATAATTTGGGGCACAACTAACAATTCAATCAGTGGAGGGATTAAAAACAAATTGTCTGGATAGATTTACATTTTATTGAAACTAATTCGATCAGTTAAGTGTCTGTTCATTAGTTTCAGCCAAATGAAATGTGCCTTCACTGTTAGCCTACAATAATTCCACATTCACCGCACTCACGTGCATAACATAAGACAGAGAGCAAACGAGACAAAAATTAATGAGGAAAAGAAAGCTTTCTGTATGGTCTGAATGTGGAAGAACATATATTCACACATTAATGCACGTTATGAATAAATGATGAAAGTGCGGATAGACATATCAGTCTTTCTGCCCTGAACTTCTTGGTGTAGTGCATAGAACAGAAGACGTACCAGCTGTGTAAATACATTTATTTACACAAGAAGAAGCCACCCGGATGGCAAGAGCAAGCACAGTCAACCAATTCATTTTAAATATTTATTTCCATAAACTTTTTTTAATTTTTAACCGTCATATACATTGATTCTTACAATTTTCATAGTTGAGGAAATCTGCTAGCAAGTCCTTGCAATAAAGGCACTCAAAACAACCCCTGCATTTTGTATATTTGTGTAGCAAGTCAATTTCCAATCCAATTCCTGAAACAATACATTTATTTTTTTTATTCAGTGCTTGTTTTGTGTTTCATCCTTCCATTATTCCGCCGGGCACTCGCCAGTGTTTATGGGGCCGAATACACTCACATCCTCAAATGAGACAGGATTTTTATTAAGCCGTACGTTCCGCAAACACCCCACATAAGATGTCCGCATCTCCACTCCTTCTCTCACGTTCTCTGCATTAACAAGAGACAGAACTGTAAATTACTATGCACTGAAAGGCCTTTCATGCAAGAAGAGACGTTTTTGATACAGGAATGCAGGCTTTACCTGAAACGCCACCGATGTAGATCGTTTCTTGCTCTGTAGTACGTGATACAGAACGCTGTCTGACTCGTGATGTTGCTTCATCTACTTTCAGCTCGATAGTTTTCCGCCGGAAGGACACTGTGGGATACATAATTTGAAATAAATGAAACCTCGCTTACGTTTCCTGTGAAAATTGTCTTTTATAATCTACCTTGATAAGAAGAAAAAAAGCATTAAAGTAGGCTAGTACCTGCCACATGGTGAAACGCACCACAGAGGGGTCGTGTTGGGGTCAATGCGGTGCCATAGCGGTGCTCTCCGTCGTTTGCTTTCACCACCACCTAATGAAGTATAATTCCACACAGATCGCATACTATACGTGATATTAAACATAATTATATCGTTAAAGTCCAGAAACGGGCCCAAAACGTAACACAAATGCAAACTACAAAATCTTGATTACAGACACTCTTGAATTCTAAAGTGTCCACAAGGGGCGCTAGCGGTCATTAGCGCACCCTGGGGCTCATTCACTAATAATTGTGTGAATAATTTATATTTTTAATACACACAGAAGTTCTCACAAAAAAAAAAATTCAGCCTAAATCCCAGCATGCGCATATAAATATACTGTAATTGACAAATCATGATTTGTTTTGTGAAAATGTTCGTATGCAGATTTCGCAATGTTTTTTTGCGTACACACACTTGAATGAGAGCCACTTTCTTCTTCTACGGCAACATTTTGATGAGAATCTTAGTGATTGTTAGCAAGAAATCCCCACAGTATATTTCAACGTGACAGTTAGCGTTAGCGTATAGAATGTGTGAGACTTCTAATTCATTAGCCGCTATAGGTAAAAAACTATAAGACTGTAAACTATAAGTGCAGTAAACATTAAACCTGTATGCAATGTGTTTAAGATTACGATAATACATTTTTTACTGTTTGTAACCAGCACAGAAGCATAAAAACATGTTTAGTGCATTATTTACAAGAGTGTATGCATGCTAAGCGTTAGCATTCCACATACTTTTTAGTCTTATCTTCCTTCCAAATCCTGTTTTTAATCAATAATACATCCAAAATACAATGTTTTTTAAAATACTTGTAAACTATATTTTCATTCACCTTTCCTCTCTTGAGAAAAAGAGTGAGTGTCCGTCCATGGTTATCGCTTTTGTGGAAAACAAGGCCGGTGAGGTTCCTGGGTCGAATTTCAAAAGCCAAGTCAAACGTAGAACCAGAGATAAGGTACTTTTCTGCCAAACAAAAACATTTATTTAATTTCTTGAACCTATTTTTCTGTCACAAAACACATTTGTTTCAACATGAAGGGCCAAACCTAAAACTAAATGTGCGCCATTTCCAGCAAAATACGCCCCCTTCTCCGTCACTCCTTTAAAACAGGGCATGACCCCATGATTGACAGCTGGATCCACAAAGAGAACCTTGGAAACCCTGAGGTCACGGATGCATCCGACTATACTCTTATGAGGGACTTCTCCCTGTGAGAAAAACAGTGTGATGCCTTTTGACAAGAACACAAGACTTGCGGTTGAGCTACATGCTGAAATAAGGAAGTTGCACATTCGTACATATGTTTTGTGAAGCGTCTGAAGATGTCCGTGTCCCACATAGACAGGAGACTGCAGATCATGTGTGAATCCTTTCAACTGCTGTCCATCGGGTGTTTGAACACCATCCACAGCTAAACCAAATTTGTGTTTCTTCATTCTGAACTTGATCTGTACACACACACACAACATGAAATAAAACTAAAGATTTTGCAATTATGAAAATGCACCATTTTGGCATTCTGCTACATACATTGTGCCAGTCACCATCACTGATCTCCTGAGAGGAAATCACTTTATCTGCCCCAACAGAGAGTTTGACTTTTCCATCATCCAAATACAGGATCACAAGAGGAACACCATGTGTCCCTGAGATGTGGAGTAAAAGTCCTTCAGATGATGTGGTGCGGATGTCTAGGGAGAAATGGGGCCTGTAAGACAAAGAAAGATCTCGTAAAAATGCTACTAAATGAAATATTAATACGTAATTAATGTAATTTACCAGTTATTGAGCTCCTGCGGATCTATTTTAAACTGCATTTGGCTGTTGGATCCAAGATGGTAGGTGTGTTTGACAGATTTTGTGTTTCTGCAGCCTTGTTTAAAGCTTCCCTTTTAAAAACAACAAAACATAGACTGACAAATGACATTAAATGTCACATTTGTATTGCCACTTAAAATGTGTATTTGTTTAATGATCTCAGTGCAAAATGTTTAAAGGTGCTCTATATTTTTCTGTTAACATTTTATTAACTCAATACTGACACCTAGTGGTGTGGAGGCCGCCTTATACAACAACAAAACTTTTCAGTTGTCACTGCCATTTTAAAAATAGCCTATTAGTAGGCAAGCCCATCGTGACTTTTTTTGCAACCGAAAGTGTTTGTTAATGGGGGGTGCTAAAGTCAGTGCGGTGCAGTGCTAAAGTCAGTGCAGTTCAACTAGTCATGTGATCTCAACATGGCAGCCACCATAAGGGGGTCCTGCTATATGTTGAAATATATGTATTTGTGTAGCTAAAAAAGGCATTTTAGAGCAATCAAACAAGCAAAACCTCAATCAAAAATGTAATTTTGTCTCACGGATGCCATTTTGAGTGCTCCTCTGTTCCTTATAATGTCTCTGGCACTAATAATTTCTTCAGATGTAAAAGTGTTTTTAAGGGTACCTATTATGTCTTGATTTTGTCTTTGGGGTCTACTAGAATAGTTTGTCATGCTTTAATGTAAAAAAAAAAAAAACTAATTTCAAATATTTTACACTGCACCTCTCTTCCCAGTCTGTCAGTAACGCCCGGTAACGCCAGAGAATGGTAACGCTCTGTTTAGTTCCTGTCTCTATGAAGCCCCTCCTTCTGAAAAGAGCACTGTGATTGCTCAAGTTCTTCGTTTGGGAAAATGTCACACCCCTTACCAAAACTGCGAGTTTAAACCCACTACTACGCTTCTTAATGGTGTCCAGAGGGGGGCGCTCTGCTTTACAGAATCCCAAAGATACACTTCCAGTCTGATTGAATCTGCTCAAGTCGGCTGGAATGTAGCCGCTCTGTGGACTGAATCATAAGGACATTATGAGTGACTTATTTCTGTTATATGTCATGATAACGCAATAAGAGTAAATCATAAAATCAAACCTCCGTAAATACAAGTTCCTCAAACAGCCTTCAAATAAACCCTCCCCCAAAATAAAATTTTCATCGAGTTCATCGATTGTGGATGACAATGGTGGATCTCCAATGTCTGTGTTGTCAACGTTTAGCTGCATCCTGATGGGAAATGTTCAACATGAAGTATTGAAAAGCATCTCTGCAAGTAAGTTTACCAAGATATTTTTTCTTACCCCCCGCTGCTTCTGTAGGCCGTTATGTAGTGCCATTTTCCAATTTCGCATTTGTTTCTGGATGTTAATTTTTCCTTACGATCACTCATTTCGACAAAGCCGTCTTTCAAAGACAGCAAAAAGTCGTTATTCTGCAGACCAAAGGAAAACATCAAAATTAAATGTATAAATATATATTATATTTATATTGTAAATAATTATAAAATGTATTATATAAAAGTATATATATATATATATATATATATATATATATATATAACAAAATAAAATATAAATGTATAAAGAATATGGAAATCTTTCTTTATATGGAAAGATTTTTCTTGATGAACTAACCATTCCACCAGTCTGTACTAAGGCTGGAATATTTTCCTGGGATGTCTTAAATCCAAGTGAAACCATTGTCTCAGAGTCTGTCTCTTTATTAGTGGGTAACACCGACAAAGAACTTCCAAATTCAAAAGTAGCCTCTCGGGAACCCTGAAAACAACCAACCAGAAACAGTTCAGATGACTTTTCTCCTGATGCTCATACGCCGTCAAGGAAACACTGCTTTGTGAAGCTTTTAAACCTTTGCGACTCAATTGTTTCGAAACCAGTGATTCGGAGCATGTACCAAACTGCCAAAGTCAAGTGATCTCAGTAATCGAGGCTTTGTTACGTCATAACTTTTTCGAAATGTATTGAACTTTAATGTTACGCCGCTAGGGGTACGATGATCTCTGTCACCAGCACGTGGCGTTTATTTTGTGAAGCAATTTGTTCAGTTGATTCAAAGTTTCGAAAAGCTTTGTTTCTCCCATCACTACTACTTGTCCACAAAAACTGTCTTACCAGTAAAGGATTTGGACAACCTTGGACAATTCCAACTTCCTCTGTAAAACTAGAAGTGACATCTACCTGGACGTTTTTGACACACCCTCTAAGTGATGGAAGAACAATATTATATCTGCAGGGAGAAAAATTATGTAAAAATTAATATTTGGTTAGGTGAATATTGCAAGAAAATTAAGCCTCTTTTAGGACAATTGGAAATTAAATGGGCTTCATTTTTTTTATTCAAAATCTCACACAGCTGCTCCCCGTTCAGGGGTCAATTTTCTTTAAATGAAAAATATTATTTCTTATATGACCAATGCTCTTGGCATTTTTTCGCAAGATTTAACTTTCATTTAACATGTTTTCCTGGTAGTTACTCTGTCCCTAACCAATAACCTTAAAGATAAAAAATTGAAGAAATGTACCAATAAACATAAACAAAAGATAATATAAATACTTTTCCCGGACTGCAATTGGAACACCCCCAATGTAGGCCTCTTTGAAGAGCCCTTTGACGTATCCCAAAAAAATGTTGATGTAATCTGTGACAAGTATTGTTGTTGGTCTTTTATCATTCATAGTCAGTCTGATCTGGATGAAGTTTGTCTAAAGGGAGGAATATAATAATATTATATTAACATATAATATAATAATAAATTAAGTGGTTACAGGAAAACTTACTTTGGGAAATACTTTTACTTTGGACTTTTCAAAAATGATTGTGTCATTGTTTTCTCCTCGCAAAACAATATAGCCTCCTTCCAATGTAACAAAGAAGTACGTGTTCTGTAAACAAGCAAAAAACACATACATTTTATTCAAATCTTGTGATATTAAATATCAAACAATAGTTGTGTCATTTTTTCATATCTGGATTTAAAATGCTTTATTTTTATGATTTGGAAGTGTGAATCAAATCAAAGTTTTTATAACAATTTCTTTACCTCGTCTCCCATGTAAAAAAGCACAGCATCCATTTGATGACTCAGAACAAAGAACTTAATAAAAGAGTTCGAACTTGATATATCAACCTTTCCGTAGCCTGTGCCATCAAAATAATACCCCAATGTGCTGACTTTTCCCCTAGGGAAGGAATATCAGAAAAATGACTAAAAACTTTGAAGATTTGAAGCAAAAAAAAAAAAAAAAAAAAAAAAACTTCTGACGACTTAAGATCATCTTAACATCATAACGTACCTTCGACACAAGTCGTTTTTTGTGATGTTGACGGCACGTTGAAAGTTGTACAAGCCGAGGATATGATCATTTAGAGTAGAAAACTCAATACAGCCCTTGAATCCTTGGTACCTAAGCTCTGCAGGCGGCTGAAAGCGTTATTTAATTGTTAATTTTGGATAGTTTGACAAAAAAACAGGGGAAAAAAACAGAATAGAAATGTTGCAGATTTCAAACTGCATGAGCATGTGTACTTGTTATTTATTTGTTAACATTTAAAGCGATGAAAAGAAAGCATTCATCTCAAAATCTCTGAGAGCCATTAGTCCATTTTTAACAGTTTTGCAGACTTATTTACCGTAAAATTGCTTGGGTATCCGCCCACGTATAAAACGACCTCATTGGGATCCATATCGAGCAATCCATTCCTGGATCCAGGCCGATTAATCATGGCCTGCAGTTCTTTGGGTTCAGTTGATGTGAAAGTCTGTGTGTATATGACCTGTGCGTCTTGATAAACTCTGATTTGGGAACAAAGGAAATTAAAAGATGGACAAATGGTTTTCAGAAATGCAAATGTACGCAATTTGCGAAGCTCTACTGTGATGAATGATGCTTACCTGCGGAAATCGACCCTATCCATAAAGGCTTTGTCATTGCTGGACTTGGTGATTTCGCTGGTCTCTATCTCATGAATATAGCCGCCCAGTTTGTAGACACAAAATAGGACACCATTCCTCACAACCAGGCCAATGAAATCCTTGACTGTCTATTGGTCCGGAGAGTAACAAATCAAAAGATGCCCTATGATACAGCTTGAATATCAATATAAAATGCACCATTATTACAATTCCGGCTGATATTGATAAGCCGATTTATTTTTTTCATGTTGTGGCCGATATTAATTAAACTAATTCATTTTCTCTTAATGAAAAAATCCCCCACTAAAAACAATTTTAAAAGCTAAAAATAAATTTAGCGAATAATAAATAAATGAGCATGAAACATCTAATGTTAATATCGGTACCGATATATCGTGCATCCCTAATATATTAAGTAACGAAAGGTCTTCTCACATGTTTATTTCCAAGGTAAAGAACAAACTGGTCATCTTCATCACCCAGCTGGCGTCTACGCCTTCCGTCGCCTCGAGATTTTGGTTGGTGCAGCGTAAGAGTAAGAACCGTGAAGGCTCGGAAGTCTTCCAGGTCTTTAGGAGGTCGAAGTTCAATGTGAGCATCACCGGAGAACAAGATCGGCCCCCTGATCTAGGGACATAGGAGAGAAGCAAGAGGATAAACATCTGGAGGCGGTTGGAGAAACATCTCTCTCCCATGAGCACTCACTCTGTTGGCCGCGTCTCTGGTCTGTTCGATCAAGTCTTTGATTCTCTGGATACTGCTGGAAATGTTGGCTGAACCAGGCATCTGCTCACTTTGGTTCTCCACTTTGTGCAGTTTGTCAATTAGTGAAGGGAAAGACTGATCCAGTTGTGTTACTGTAATGAAGATAATTCAGCGAAAACGCTCAGGCTTTGTATTCAGATATTATTGAACTGAATAGTACAGAATAATGTTCATCAGATCAACTCAAGGACAGAAGAGCTGAGAAGACTCACATGTTTTGTTGACACCATCGAGTAAGTCGTCCAGGTTTGAATCTTGAGGGGAAATATTCATTTTCTTCAGTTCTTCGCTGATGTTCTGCATTCTGATTATTGCATCACTTGCTGTGGCGTTCACATCCGAAGCACCTTCCTTGGCTTGGATGATGAGATCGCCAATATCGTCTAAACAAAAAATGAAACCACCAAAGTGTTCATCTGACAAGACCACTACAATATTTATTGTGGGAAAATGATTGAGCAAAATGGAGCTTCTGACCTCTTTTGATGTTGTTCATCTTCTCCAACACATCTCGCATGACTTGCTTCAGCTCGTTCTGTTTGTTTTCGGCCTGTTGGATCAGGTTCTTGTAAGCTTCACATATCTGTGTGACATCTGTAGATGAAGGTTTTGTTACTACACATCACAACATGTCCACGAAAAACCCATTAAATCAAATGATTAATTAAGACTGTGATCTTGTTTGGCTGATATTATTGCTGGATGCTATTTTATGGTTTATTGTAGTTGCATTAAAAGGTGAAAATGGCAACCTTCTAGCTGTATCTCCGCTTCCTTGGATTTCACTAGAAGAGTATTTGCATAATTTTTCAGATCCTTGGCTTTATTTTGTAGATCTTGTCCTCGCACATTCTGGGGAATGAAATGAATAGAACAATGTTTGATTCTAGAACAATGAAAGATTCCTGTCCTTTTATGATGGTTATAAGTGGAGCGCAACCAAGAATGCAAAATATATCTGTATAATTTCAGTTATTATAGGACGATATTTTTAGAATTTATCATTAAAGGGTAACTAAACACTAAACCAACTTTTTTAAATTAATGATCTGTAAGACTGGGGCTTTATTAGTGCTGTTCATTGATTCGAGTAACTTTTTTGAGATTTGGGTTTAAAGTGTTTTAATTCTACAATATATGGTGTAAAAACGTCTGAGTGCTGCCCTCTTCAGGTTGAACGGTGGCTACTGCAGTTGAATTTTCCTATTGGATGTTTGCGGTAGCGGTGAGAGCTGACGTAAGCAGGTTTCAGCTTACCACGCCCTTGGTACATACATAGACAGTAAAAGAAATGGACACAGCGACCCCGTTGATTTCAACGGAGAGAGTTGAAGCCCAACATGGGCACTTACTTCCTGATAGCCAAGCGTTCTACGCAGGCTCAAACTGAGCTTGACGACGTAGTTGTCATGTGAGCAACCGTTCTGACCTTCTAGTAGCTGTGCCGGGACAAATCTGAATTGAAATCTGAAACAAATCTGTTGTTGAAATATTTTGTCCCGTTGCTTTTATGAACTCTCTATCTATGGGCTTCTCCCTTGACTTTATGCCTCCATGTCCACCCGATTGCCTCATAGACAGTAAACGATTGCCTACGAGCTTCTACTTCTGTCTATACGGTAATTTCTCTACTGTGCGACAGAGCGTCCCGTGGTGATGACGCAATCGTTAGCCTATTTTTACAAGAATGGCTTCTACGGGGCCATAACGTCAGATACAAAGTAATGAAGCCTTTTATACATTGTCGTGTTTCTTTAGAAATAAATAATGGACAAATGGAGTCTTTGGACGCCTCAGATGTAAAGTTATTCGCTGTCAAAGTGACGCCAAAATGAATGGGAGTCAATGGGATGCTAACAGCAGGTGATAGCCAGCTACAATGGCGGCCCCAGGAGGCAGCTTCAACTTCCGGCTGATGGATTACCCCCTTGCCTTGGTACGAGCTACCACCCTATAAAAACCATCTTGTTTCGTCAAAACCACTGTAGCGAGTCAGGAGTTGGAATTGCGAGTATTGAAAACGATCAGGATAGAGTATCTGTTCATCCCCTCTATCTCCGCTGGGCTCCGCCCACTTTTCCAGCATTTTTCAAATATTGCCAGTGGGTGGAGTCAGGCTCTGACCTGGGGTTTAGTTACCCTTTAAGTATTTTATATTTATTGTTCATACTCATTACATTTACCATCATCTAATGCTCACTTTTACTTTTAGTTTATTTAGACATTTATTTATCATGTGACATACTTCGAAAGCCTGGTCTGCCGCTTCTTTGGCACGTTTGGCGGCAGCTTCCGCCTCCTTTATGGCATCAGTGATGTCTGTGAATGCTCTGATGGCTTCGATTGCTTTCTGAACAGCGGTTGAGTTGGTGATGCTCACTATGACCCTACAAGACATGTGTAATCATTAAAACTTCATTAGAAACAAAAATAAGGTTTCGGAATGTTTGGAGGACTCATGATGTACATTTGAAAGTCCATAGCCAGCTTCATAAGTTCCTGCGCGTGCTCCTCAGCCCGTCTCACAATTCCCTGCTTAGCAGTGGCGCTGGAGAGTAGCTCGAGTTTTGCATCTAGATCGGTTTTTGCTCCGTCAATCAAAGCTGCAAGATGAGACAATTCCTGGCAGAGAACAAAACATAAGTATCCAAACTGGTGAATGTTTCACAGAAGAATTTCATTATTTGTCACCTCTGTTAGGTCATCCATCATTTCCTGAAGATCCTTTGTCTCTTTTAGTGTCCTTCTGGTCATGTTCACATTGGCTAGGATATTTCCTTGATTTTTACTCAATACTTTCAACTGCTTCTGTTAAACAAACAAAGGAAGTATTTAATGACATATGTGAACAAATGCAGATCTTATATCACAGTGGTTCTTAAAGTCACTGTTTTACATTATTGAGAACATTCGCCACCTATTATTAGCTTATTACCGAAACATTTTTCAGCTGTTCCTCGTTGAGTTTATTCACACCATTGGACTTGATCACATCAAGCTGTGCGTCTATAAGAGCCTCTTGTATATCTCGAAGATCTTCCATCCAATCCATGAGATTCTGTCCAATACCATCAGCTACAGCCAAGGAGCCATTTAGAGGAATCATCAGGTCATTCAAGATGAGGTTGAGTACTGTGAGAGAAACAAGCATGCTTTCGGACCCAAAAAAGAGCTTTCTCACTACTTGGGCACTAAAGCACAGTCCTAAATCAGTGGTGTCCATTCCTGCTCCTAGAGGACAACTGTCCTGCAGAGTTTAACACCAAACCCAATCAAACACACCTGAACCAGCTAATTAAGGTCTTCCTTATTACCAAAAAAATCCAGGCAAGCTGGAGCTAAACTCTGCCACCAAGAGCAGGAGTGGACACTCCTGTCCTAAGTGGTGTAATTCATAAGCGATTGACCCACGTGTTAGTGCTTTTCTGAGCTCCTGGTTAGCCAGCTCTCTCTGAACCCTGCAGCTCTGCCTTCGCATCTTCTCCAACATCCATCGGGCTTCTTTTAACATCCTGATGGCCTCCTCTGTGTTCCCACCCGTGTGGTTTGATCGCTTCAACTCGTCCAAGAACTCTACGTGGGTCAAGAAGTAAAAGTGCAACTGGTGACCTTCCAGCAAGTTGGAAGAAGACATTTAAAAAAAGAAATTGGCTTTGAAAAGCTCAGCTGGATCTAGTGGGTTCACCTTGTATCTTTAGTAAGAGGTTCACACTCTCAGATCGTAAGTTGTCCCAGCTTTGATAGGTTTTGTCCAAAGTCTTTAGCAACTGAACTGCAGTACAGGACAGCTCAATTGCCTGTAGAAACAAACACAAGTTGTAATTGGTTGCATGGACGTCATAAAGATAAACCACCATAAACAAAGTAGCCGTAACAGTACCTTGTCATTGAGTACAGTTAGGTCATCTTTGACACTTTCGAGATCAGATTCAAGCTCCAAAAACTTTGGTTGCAATGCGAAGACAGATTTAGTATACTTGTGGACCAAAACCTAAAGAAGGGGAAATGGGTTTCAAAAAACGATGTGTGAAAATACATTAGCATTCCAAAGTGCTGTTGTAGGAAATTGTTGTAGTGACCTTTGTACCAGCAATGGCATCTTCAAGTTTGTCCAGCCCCGTGTATGAATTAACATTCCGACTAAATGACTCAAGTTGGTTCTTCAGTGTGGAGAACTCATCATCATTCGCTTCAAGATCATCCATTAACTTAATGACACAGATATCGCACTCTAACAGGAAAAGTTCAAAAATTCTAGTCAATCCACAACTTAGTCATGCATTGTCACATCTGCATATGAATAGATATCACATGATCATTGGAATATAAAAATTGTAAAGAAGCTCCAAGTAGGCCTATAGGCCCAGAATATTATTCAAATTCTTTTTAAGTAATTTGTAAGACATTTTTGAGGATTGTGAGCGCAAACCGTAGCAGTCGCCAGTGTGTGGGTCATCAGCCTCATAACAATCTATGATGAGAACAAAGAAAACAAATGTTTTCACTATAATATGAATGTAATTTTTAGGGTTTAATTATATACATTATAATTTATAAAAATATTATATCTATAACATTAATTATACTTTTTTAAATATTTTTTTGTATTCAAGCAGCCTAAACTTTTATATTATTATTATTGCTATTTTTACATTATTATTACTATTAATATGTAAATCATGAGAGCCTGCTTACCGCCTGTTTGCGGGTCACATACATAACCGTAGTCACAGTCACATGGCTGACAGTTACCTCTTTCTACTAAAGGGCTGCCGTAATATCCAAGCGCACACCTAAAATATGAAGTAAATGAGATACTCTCTCTTCAAAAACATTCATGCACAATTCTTGGCATATTTATAAGTTTTAAAAACAATACACACCTTTCACATCGAACCCCAGAGTAACCAGGTTTGCACAAACATTCAAACTCATCTCCAACCCAGAGACATCCGATCGCAAAACTGCACAAACAAATTAATAAACAATTATTATACACTAAGCAATAAAAAATATTTTAAAATAAGCAAAAAAAATAATTAAACAATAAAAAATAATAAAAAATATTAAACAATCAATAAAAAGGTTTACAGAATAAAACAAATTATATAAACAAAGCAAACTTTCAGGTATGTAATTTTATGATTCTATGACATCGCACCTGTTCGATGGGTCTGTTAAGGGACATGGACACATACGACAGGTTCTCAGAGAGGCGCTGCCATAGTAACCCTCCATACAACGCTCGCAGTGGTCGCCTGCTGTATTGAACTGGCAGTTCTGCAAAAAAAGAAGAAAAAAGCATCAATTCAATATGACAGGCCCACAATGTGACACGGCAAAAGATGCATTGAGTATACAACTATAAAGTGGAGATGCATTATGTTATCAGTTAGGGTTGACTTGACCACAAATAGGGGCTCAATGAGGGGTTTTAAAAGTAAAAAATATTAATGAAATAAAAGATGAAATCATACCAGACATTTTCCAGTGTGTGGTTCGCAGTCATAGGACAGGCCATTGCAGTTGCAAGGTACACATCGTCCCTTATGCGGTCCACTTCTCTCCCTGTAATAACCACGATCACAGTCCTGTAATGGAGCAAATGCAGAGGACAAGGTCATTATATGAGATCCAGGCATGATGTGTGGACATTTTGGAAAACCCTACAAAAGGTATATATAGGCATTATTTTGGTCAAAAACACTAACTGGTAAAAAACATTAGTATAATATTCAATGACATTTACCCTGTTCCGGGTGACCAAAAAAGAGGAAATCAAGGCACTGAAATATTTCTAAGAACAGTGAATCACAATGGAGTTGTTTATTTCATTTTCTCTATATGTGGGGCTGTTGTTAGGGTTGCCACCCGTCCCTTAAAATACGGAATCGTCCCGTATTTGTGAAATAAACAGCGCGTCCCGTTTTGAATCAATACGGGACGCGGTTTGTCCCGTAATTCCGAGTTGTCTTAAATGCATCATCACATGCAAATTATAACACCCGCATTCTGTGAAGACTCGTCCTATTCTACCCTTGATTGGGTAATACTCGCTGCCATTGTTGGTTTGATTGGTTTGTTTAATAACATCAGGTTCAGGGCCAATCAGAGTCAGAGGAGGGCGGGTCTTTTGGCAGAGAGTTGATAGCAATGCTAGCTTAGAGAAATCAAAGCACCGTCTCACAGTTCTTCATACGTTAAGGATCTCCCGAAGCAGATAGTCATAGTGTAATGACAGTTTTTTAATCAGCTCAATAATGTTCTGATTGATTACGTTTTCATATGCTCCATACCCTATGCCCATTTGCTAAGAAATAATGTTTCAATGTAAATGAATTATATCCATACATTATGGTATGATTTGTTTATTATAGTTAAGGTAGTCAGACACATGCATTTTTTAAATAAGAGAGAGATATTTAATAGGCCTACATATTTAATAATAAAAATGTGCATGTGTGAAGAAAATGACTTATGCTTAACAAATCTAGAGAATAGGTCAATAGGTCTGAATACATAAATAAATAAATACATAAATAGATTTTCTTACCAATAATAAAAATAGTGTTATAATTAAATTTAGAAATGTTTGTAGATTATAGGTTATTTATGTGTGGTATCACTGTTTGGATGGTGTTACATGTTTGAAAGAAACAGCTACTCAGTGCTGCATGGAGTGACAAGTACACTTAACGCCTATAGTCCAATACTGCACAGTACTACTGGTCTACTGATGTTTTTGATGTTCAAGATCCTTTGCTAAAGTCATAGTTTTTTCCAATCAAATTTAGTATTTGTTTGAGTATCAACACATTTGTTTAATTTATAGTGAATAATTTATGGATCTGTTAATTTAATAAGTTAATAAGTTAACATCTCACATACAACTCCGACGAAAGGCCATTTTTTTTTGTAATCTCATTGTCACACTTTGTTAACGTTGTTTGTGATAGAGAGTGATTTATTCACAATGATTTCAATAGCAGATAGCTTATTATAATGTCCATTGGTATGATCTTATTACTTTCCTGAAAAATATGTTTTGAGTTATGATACCATTGGCATACCGTCGGGCCTGTGGTCATTGTGGCCCTGAGGGCTTTGGCCCCCGCTGCGGCCGCCGGCAGGCGTCCCTTATTTTTTTGTATTGAAGGTGGCAACCCTAGCTGTTGTGCAAATCAGAGCTGGGAATCTGGTACAACTTTGACATGTATTGCCAAAAAGTCAGATAGCAACAGGCCGGCAGATCCACAAATAATGAGGATTAATGTCTTCCCTTTCTACAGTGTGTGTAGTTTTCGATTGTTTCTTTTTGGCTGCATGCCAGTGTGTTCATGCCAAATCTGTTATCTGACATACCTAAAAAAAAACATGCTTGAACCTGCTTGGTCGGGGGTCCTTCCTAAATATATTGAATTAGTTAGTGGCTCGGGGCTATGGAAGCTTGTTTCTGCCACGGAATTAAACAATTTACAAAGAGATAATTGTGACTTGTTATCTTACAATTAGCAATTATGAATTTATTTCTCGCAATTGCGACTTTACAGTAGGTTATCCGCAATTCTGACTTTTTCTCTCTCGAAATAGCCAGTTTATAGACTTTATAACACTCAAGTGCCATTTGAAAAGTCAAAAAAGTCATAATTGTGAGATAAAGAGTTAAAATTACCTTTTTATTTTTTATTCAGTGGCCGAAACAAACTTCCACGCAGGACTGCAACTCTCACGCTTTCAGAGAAAGAATACCCATATATCAAATGAATCGATAGCCTATGATTGAAATCGAGTCGGGAAATTTGTGAACCCAACAATAGCACACCTTTTCTTGACACCGCAGTTTAATCGACGATTGACACATGCTCAAAAATGATTAGTAGTTCGGTTCTCTTAATTACCTCATCACGCGGTCCATAGACCTTTTTACCGTCTGTAGACACATATTTTTGTATTACAGTTTGTATATAAAAAAGGGTTAAATAGCCTACCGGTAAGTGTTTATTTTAATTCACATCGGTAAGTGTTTATTTTAATTCACATCGGTAAGTGTTTATTTTAATTCACATCGCCTTGGACGAGAATTCGATTAGAACTACAAACACGAATAAAAAGTATTTTAAAAAACTCCAAGCATGGCGGATGTGCAAGTCCTACGTTTGAGTAGATGTTTAGATAAAGCCTTAAAGGGGTTGAGTGAGTATCTATATTCAATGTATCTATATTCAGTATATTTAATCAATGTTATCCACATTAGATTGCATCTGCAACGGCATTGTTAACTTTTGTAATGACACTTTGGTCATTTCACTGTTGAAATACACATCTTAAATCAGCCAATAAGCTACCTTGCTAGTTGGTCTAAGATGGTTTTAGGACAGCTGAAAAGTACCCCCTACTAAGCAAAGACCAGATTAGGCTGGTTTGAGGCCTTTTTTTGTACCTTTGTTTTAGGTAACACCTTACCTTAATGTGTGTGGAATCACAATACTTTCTGAAAATATGCCTCCATGATTCTTGATTGTTGTCGTTTTTGACCTGGATATCATTGTCCCACCAGAATATTGTAGGACGTCCCAGCTCATCAGCAGATACCCAGAGATCCAGAGAAAAGAGCACCAGTACTCCAGTCCACATCATTTGGACTCCCAAGAATAAGAACTTAGCCATTTATAAATGTACATGTATATATGCATATATGCATGTACTGCAAGACTACAACTCTATACTCTCTTGGACAACATGCGCTCTTTACTCTTGGAAAATACCCCTTTCTTCCTGTTTGTCTCTCCAGGTGTGTGATTCCTGTGTGTACAGAGGAGGGGTAGGGCAGTGATTTTTACACACCTGCTGGCACCACCAATAGGCAAGTCAAGGAATATCTGTGACCTCAAGGAACTTCATAAATTATTAACTTTTTATGTTTTAGCCCTAACAATGTCTACTTTTTAACATGTGTTTATTTTATTTATTGGTGATTGATTTTTTAAACATTTTTTAAATGTATTTATTTATTTGTCAAAAACCTTTTTTATAAAAAAAATGTTACAATGTAGAAATTGTTTATGAAATAAACAATTAGATGTTAGTTAAATCATTACAAATAGAATAATTGTATTGATCATTATAAATAATAATATAATTATTATCTTTGCAGCATTTTTTATGATACATTTTTAGCAATTACTATTTGTAGTAATATTTTAAAGTTTTTTTAAATGGTCAAAACAGCAACTTGAATAGTTTTTTTAATCAATGTTATTAATATTTCTTTTAATTTAACATCCTCACAATTTTTTATCCTCACAATCTTTAATCTGTCATGTATGAAATGCACTGATTAAATACAGTTTACGCAACACTGCACAACAATAGCAACAAACCTGTTGTTGACAGCGCAGGTTAATCGACACACTTAACTAGACATAACATTTAAGCATATGACCTTGTCTCTATTAGTAACCTATTGTGAGAACTTCAAAACACACCTGGGGAAAAACACGTGTGTTTACACAGTAGGAGAGGTTGTGTGGCAAGAATAAAGTTCAGCTCTGTGGTGGAAGTTGTACTAGTGCCCTAAATGAACTGATTTCTGACACAAAATTCAGACTTCATAAGTCTTTATTGGAAAATGTCTCACACGATGGGATAAAGAGCATAGCTGGCGATCCCGCAAGTGTTTTTGCCATTGCGTATCATTCTCATGTAGCCTCCTTCTCCCCATCCTGTACCCCAACTGAGGAAAGAAAGGAAAAGACGAGGTCACACACCTAGAAATTAATTACCCTGCTTTTTGACATGTACCCTGAAACATGGTATTCTATGAAGTAACTTTTTGTTATCGTAATCTACACTACAGGTGCACAACATTTAAATAGGTGTTTAGTTTGTTGTGTTGCTAACAGTGTACCAGAGGTGTTAATGTACTCATAAACCTAAATGATGGGCGTTCTCTTACCTGTTTTTGATTATCCAGTAATCTTTGCCCTCCTCTGAGCCATAACCAACCACAAGCACAGCATGGTTGAGATTGTTAGGGTTACAGTTAGATTCCTTGTAGATTCCTATAAATATAATATTATATAATATAACATTAATTATAATTATATATATATATAATAAATAAATAAATAAATAGCCTACATATTTATGTATTATATGTATATTTATACATTTACATTAAATACAAGAAAGAAAGAATCGTTTGAATTGTTATATAATAGTTTATTGTTATATAATAGTTAAATAAATAGTCACAAAACATTATGTATCTATGTATCATTTATATAATGTATATTTTATATAGGATATATATATATATATACAAGTCAATGATAAGTCTGAAAAATCAATAAATGATTGTTTTATTTCAACATTAAATAAATATATATTTATGTGTGTGTGTGTGTATAATATTAAAAATAGTTAATATGATATTTAAAAATATATATTATACAAATAGTGTAAATAGTAATAAAAAACAGAAATTATTAGTAAATAATTATTTTATATATTATTTTCTTCTTTTCTTTACAGAATGAAAATAGAATCAATAGAAGTGAAGTCTTGCCTGAACTGTAGAAGAGGAAGCTTGGATGGTCGGCATCTATAGCGACGGTGATTGGACCGACGGTTGCCACGGCGTCAGCCAATGCCTGCTCATCTCCGGCTGGGATGAACCTGTAATCACTGATTCTGGCAACAACTGAACTTCTGTCGTAGAAACAGGGCTGAATATCCTGGTTAAACCATAACCAAAAAAGATATATTCAGTTTGGCCATCTCAGAAAAAAATCATACAGTCTACTTCTCTAACTGAAATAAACAACATCTCTCACCACTGACGTATAGGGGTAAGTGCCGGAGCTCTCCAACCCTTTATTGATGACATAATCATAGGCATTGGCCATCCAGGCTCCACTGCAGCCGTATGTGCCGTAAGACCTGGAGCAGTCCACCAGCTGCTGCTCGCTGAGGGACACCAACTGTCCCGTCCTCTTGAACACTTGGCCTTCGATGGCACCCGTAGTGCTAAAGGCCCAGCAAGACCCACAGTATCCCTGAAAAAAATGACAAATCTTTAGCACCAAACATACAGTAGAATAATTTTCAACAATGTATATATCCCAGCTAACAGGGAACATTCTCAGTGCTTTGGCTAACGTTTTGGGAAGGTTCTCTCATGGTTAAGAACAAGCGTTATTACGGTATCGTTAATAGAACGTTCGTTCAAAGTTATCTGGTCTTTAATAATGTTCTCAAAATGTTAGCACAAAAATGTTATTTATACATCATACATGGAACAGAAATGTTTAGTTGGACTTCAGAGAACATCCAGAAATAACGTTTTCATAACTTAATGGCGACGTTAGCAAAAGCTAGCTTGTATTTTTTGTTAGCTGGGATGACACTTTGGAATAAAAATAAGCATATGAATGATGATCAACTAAGAAAATAGAAGAGAATCCCACCTGGTCTTTGACTTCAGTCACATATCCCTGTGCTCGATAGTCAACATTGGTCAATCCCAGTCTGTTAGCATTTAAACTGAGCGTTTGAGCGGATGCAATCTTTCCTCTTCTATCTATCGGGCCGTTGATTTTGGCACCCAGCAAGCGGTTGTACTCCATACTGGTCTGAAGAGAAGACAAAAATCAGATAAGAGAATCGAGATCATCTTGGATCCAATTTTTGTACATGATGACATCCACACCACTAGGTGTCAGTATAAGACCACCTTTAACAAAGCTAATAAAACCCATAATGTTTATCATATTGTTTATTCAGTTTTTTCAGTCGTTTTTACTTACGAGGTCACCGTATTTGTTCATTGCCATGCTAAACGTTGACAATCCGAAACGAAAATCATCGTTGTTTTTCTCAATCATCCTCATGTTTGTCTCCCAGATGGTCTGTCTCTGAATGTTGTCACTCTACAGTTATAAAGTGAAACTTCATAAGAAATACAAACAAAAATGCAGTGCATAATGTACAGTATAACGTATAATAATCTTAACAACACAGTAACTAAGTGACTTAAAATACATGTTTATACAGAGTTAAGTGCCTCAAAACTAAGCACAATAGTGATTCAAAGCTTTTAAATGAGTTTTTAAAGGAACAGTTTGCCCAAAACTGAAAATTCAGTCTTCATTCACTCGCCATCATGTCTTCGAAATGTCTCCTGTTGTATTCCAACATGAGTGGATAATGACTGAATTTTCAGTATTTGGGTGAACTGTCTCTTTAAGTCACACATGACCATAACTGACCTTTTCATCATAGGATATTTCATGGACCTTTTTCCACAGTGTCCACTCTGAGGCGACCTCCTCTTCTGAATCTGCTGCCCCCTGCAGAGGTGCCCACATCAGGAGCGCAAACACGGCCAATCTACTGAACAGCGCCACCCAGTGTGCTTGATAGGTATCTATGCAAAAGACACATTACATTTAGAAAAATGTGTTTTATCAACAAAAAAACAACAACACACACACACTATATATATATATATATATATATATAATTTAAAAAATAAAATGATAAAACAAATTTTTAAGCCTTCAATATATATATATATAGAAATTATATAAAAAAAATGCTTTGCTTTTAATTACATAAAAAATAAATCAACAATGAGCCCAAGTTTTTGGTTCAGCAATTCAATTTAAATAAATGTTTATAACTAAATATATAACATAAATGTTTACACAACTGTATTTGTTTATAATATTTACACCAGGTCCAAAACTTTGACCTGAAGCAAAAAAAGCAACAATTTTTTTTTTTGCTTTTTGAGTTCTTATTCTGAGACTGATTCACTTTTACAAACAAACAAACTAACAAGATAGAATTGTTATACTATACTATACTACTATACTATACTATAATATCATATATAATTATAACTAACATATAATAAACAATGAGCACAATTTATGTCACATTTTTGGTTCAACAATTCAATTTAAATACATATTTATAACAAAATATTTAACATAAATATTCAAACAATGAAACTAAGTCATATTTACACCATATCCAAAGTTCCTTATATGACTCCCTCCAGTCTTACCGAACATGTTGATGCACAGGCTCTGCAGAAAGTGGCTGTCTGAGCGTCTGGGGTTTTGTGCAGATGAAACTGCAGCATGTCTTCTGCATTATATACCTTCATACGGAAGGTGTGTCCATACTGTCAGAACTTGCTATACCATGTCATCCTGCAAGAGGAAGGCACTAATTAACAAGACTTCAAATGCTTAACCCTAACCAACAACTATCAAAACACTGGCATTGCTGGCTGCACATGAAACTCTCCTAAATGTCATCTAAGGAAATCAAATGTGATGGGTCATATTGCACCTTTTCTTTTGTTATTGAAGATTTAAATCAGGACTGAGTCAGCGATGTTTGAATGCCTGACGTGTTTTGTCTGACCTGATTCTTGTTTGGAATATAATGAACGTATACTACAGACATTATATCCTTAAAGTATAGTCCAGCCACCCCAAGGCCTTTATTACGGGGGTGAATGCTGAGTCATCTGTCTTTCTTGTTCTCCAGTCAGGCTGTGTGTTCTTCAGTGCTGTCATAATTTAGCCCCATTATTACGGTTCATCCCATGATTGCCTCTGCAGGGCATATTTTGGGGCTTTTCATTATAAACAGTCTGTGTTGAAGGGCAGGTACAGGTGAACAGACTTACGATTTGCCTTACAAGATTACTTTGCCGTATTAAATGAAAAGGTTAGACTTTTTTTTTCTACTGTAGCCTATTATTATATTACATTAT